CCAGCCTGCTGCCTGGCCAGCTGTCACTCCTTCCCCTTCCTGCAGGCTGACTGCCCTCCCAGCCACGTGCCCCACGTTTCCATTCCTGCCCCACAGCTTCCAGCAACACCCCGCCTCCTGCCATGCACTGGGAGAGGCAGAACTGCCCTGAAGCCCGGATGAGAGTCACCACTTCAGGTTTTGAAGTGCAGCCTCCTCGCATGCAGCTGGAGCTTGTTTCTGGAGCACCCCAAAACTCAGCTACAACAGCAGCACCTGGGTTTGTGTTTTTTATTCTGAAACCAATTCCAGCTTTAGAAACCACCACCCAAAACCCCACAGTATGAAAGGAAGGTTAGTGGGGGTGGAGAGCACACAGGCAGCTGTGCAGGGGGTCAGGAAAGGGTGCATCCCACTCCCACCTCAGCGACTGTCGGCCAGTTGTGCTTTATACGTGGGAGGTGGCTGCCCTTTCCGACTCCTGCAACCGTCAGCTACACAATTCCTGTCGATACCAACGGGTATTCGCTTATCGAGACTAATTAAAAACAGAGTCCAACTGGAGCATCTGATCCCACCACCGCCCTACACTGCAGGACAGCGCATTTCCTGACTCCAGCCACATGGCTTATCTGCCATCACCCTCCCCCCTTTGCTTTCCCAATCCTTCCCTGCTGCGTATCAACATTGCGCTCTGGGTTATCAAACTGTATCCTACTGCTGTCATAAACACTTGCCACACAGACCCTCAGCCTCCACGGCCTCTCCCTGCAGATAGGCGGCTGCCCATCAATATTGACATTCCAGCCCTGAGAATCATGGTCAGGACGTGCTACGGGTAGAGCCCGCCGCCAGTTGTGGAAGTTTCCCATGACCTTTCTGTTTGGGAGTTCGCCCTTTTTGTCAGCTGGTGTCAGTCTGACTACCATGGAGCTACACTTTGTTTACCCAGGTGATGGGGGGGTTGGGTCCCCGCGGTTGGGAATCAAAGACAGAAAGAGAGTGCCAGGCAGCAGGAGAGAACAGATGTCACAGCCAGGGGAACACCGAGGGAGTAACTTCTGGCCTCCCTGCAGTCAGGCAAGAATTGGCTGGAGCACAGGAAAGCTGCTTTTGCCTTCCAGCAGCCTGCTTCCATCAGGCACCAGAAGGGGTGGCTGTCAATAGCCGCAGCAGAAGCAGCACAGTGTGGGCTAAGGAGCCTGCTTCACTTCTCCTAGTGGATTTGAAGGGCTGTCAGGAACAACGGGGGAGGCACCCAGGGGGATTTCCTGCTCTCCAGCCAGGAAAGATGGCTACGGATGCTACCCTCCGATCAACTACTGCTCCGAAAGGGCACGTGTCCCACCCACACAAGGGAGGGATTCAGCGCCAAGGCAGCCTGAGCCTCCAGCTGTGCAGAGTTCCGGTCCGTGATTCGAGCTGATCCATGCAAACCATGCAGGGAACGGTGCTTCCAAAGGAGGGGACCGTGGGGTGGAGCTGGAAGGAGCTAGTTCTGGCCAAGTGAGACTACCTGTTGCAGGAGCAGCAACCAGGAAAGGTCCCGCCAAGCTTCACAGGGAGCTGGGCTTAGGGTCCCAAGAGGGGGACAGACTCTGGGAAAGGAGGAGAGCCACATCGCTCCCCCTCCGGCTGGTCACCAACGGGGTCATTTCACAAGCTGGACTTGTTCCCCCTCCCCCTCCATCACTGCAGCCATTTTCGTCCCTTTGCTCGAGCAGTGGAATGAGATGGCTCAGGTTCACTTCCTCAGTTCTGCACCCAAACAAGCTTGTTGCATTTCAGCCAGTACAGCTGGGAAAATTAAACCGCCCCAAACCCACCCTTAAAACTCCAGTAACAGTGAGGATTCTCTCCCCCCAGAACTACTCGCTCAGCTGTTCACTAATGGGATTGCCCATATCCAATCAAACTGTTGGGGGAAAACTCTTCCTTCCTCCCTCCCCCAAATAATTTTTCAGGCTAACAGGGTACAAGGAGGAAAAGCCCTCAGGAAATTCCTGCCAAAAAGCTGGTGGTGTAGAGAAAACATCTAGTCCCTCTCTGCGAAGCTGCTTCTGATGGACACCAACGAACGGTGCCCTGGTGGTAAAACTTCAGCCATTGGCTTGAAAGGAAGATTCTGAGAAGGAAAGACTAGAGATACCAAGCTCATAAGCTCCCTGCACATGGGAACAGAAATGCCTCTAGCATTGGGAAGCTTCCCCCTACAAATGATGCAAATCCCAAGTAGAACATACAGGAGACTGCAACTAGGGAGCGACGTGAAAACTCCCTTAGCGATCTGGAAGAGGGCATGACCAGAGAGAGGGCAAAGATGGCGGAGGACAGAAGTTACACATTAGTGAAGTGCTGAGGAAACTGAAGAAATTCAGAGGGCTCTAGCCATGCTCAGTGGATGGGCAGAGAAAATCCAGCGCTGACAGATGCAAGGTAATGCATATTGGAAGGAGTAATCTGGACTTGTACTGCTGGGCTTTACATTAACTAAGCTCTGTGGGATGAGACATTTTTTGACAACTCGACGTGAAGCAGCTGGCAGTAAAAGAATGTCCTAGGATCAATAACTGGGACAGAAGCTATGGTAATGCCTTCTGCAGGGATGTTACAACATGCTTATTTATGTAAACGTGTAGCCACAGAAATTTCCCAGGAGCCAACTACCCTCCCTGCTGCCTCTGTATCAGAGGCAGCGCAATAGGAGGGGGGAGGAGACACACAGAGGGGAAGAGACAGGCAGGTGCTCCTGGGGATCTGGCTTAGAAGCAGCAGCATGAAGGGGGTGGGCTGCGGTGTAACTGTGTATACCTCTAGCCTTCAGAGAGCAGTGTGGTCCTGTTCACCAGTACCCCAGAGCCCTGCAATCGATTCCTGCTACTGACCAGTGAGAGCCTGGGCAAGTCCCTTCCCTTCCCCATGCCTCTGTTCGGTCTACTTGGATTGCAAGCTCTTCAGATGAGCACAAAGCCCCTCCCCCAATCTCAGCTGGAGCCTTTAGGCATTACTGTAAAATACATATAAAGCAGCTCCATTTATATAAAACGAATGTGGCCTTGTCACCTAGACTAGGGCGTTCGGTTTTAGTCATGCTCTCTCAGAAAGGATATGATGCAAGCAGATGGGCACGTGTCATGAAGGAGTTGGACAAAAGCCACCCACGCACCAAGGAACAGGATGCTTTCCCAGGGGATGGCCTTCCCCTCTTCCAGAATCTAAGCTTTCACTTAAATTGCAACACTAGTCTTGTCTTTCGTGGCCACAAAGCAAGCACCTGTAACGTAACCTGAGTGAAGTTGGAGCCGAGAGGTCTTCCCGAGCCTGCTCTGGGACCCTGCTGCTGCTCAGAGCAATCCCACACTGCAACAGAGCGACAAGCGACTTTAGGCCTGTTCTCTTTTGCTCCTCTTTTTCAGGAGTCCGTGGCAACAATGCACGTGACATTCTGCTAGGACTTGGAGAACATTCTGAGTACCAGCAGGGTACAGGCTGAAGAGAGTTATTGGGCAAGCCCTGCCCCTCCTGCAGCAAAAAGGGGCAGATATTATGCAACGGAAACATCTTCCTCTTCCCTTGCAGACTCTCACATCTGTTTGCAATATAGGCACAAGGCTGGACAATGTTAGGAGGGTAAGAGGAAAATAAGGAAGGAAAATCAAGGAGGAAACGAAATAGGAAATGAATACTGGAGACCGTTCAGGAGGACATGCAACATGGCCTGTAACAGAAGAGGAGAGAGAGGGGTAGAAGGAACTCAGTAATGGCAGCTAGTAAGGACTGGAATACTCCTTTCATTCATTTTACCTGCATCCATCAAATATATTCAATTCCTACTCATGCGTGGTATCCAAGCAGCTCTGTAGATGGCCTGATGCTATTCAGAACATTAACATTAGGAGAATGAGTCAAATATCTAGCCCATAAGCTAATCCAACCTACTAGCAAGTGAAATGTTGAAGACAGCTATAACATAAGCATTTGGGATTTTTCTGCACTGCATTGAATAGCATCAGGTACAAAGGTGTCTTTTTATGGTCGCATGACACCTGCAAAGCCAAGTTGGGAGCCACATTAACCTCTGAAGTACCAAGCTCAAAGATCCATTTCTAATCATCCCGGCTCACTTAACATTAAGGAAGAGCTATTTGAACTGTGCACCTACTCCAGATCCAGAGAGGGGGCCCGGCCGCAGAGATAGCGGCACTAATCCTAGCGGAAATGGAAGCAGCCCTGCCTATGACAGGCAGGCATCTTGCTCCAACACCCTTTGGATATCTTTACTCCCGGGCTTCATTTATTCAGATGCCTGGAAGCAGTTGCTACTTAGTATATCCCTCCATCCAGGACTCCTCTAGCACATTCCAGGAGCAGCAATTCCCTCGAGATTTCAGGGAAACTTGGCTTCCTCGCTTTGCTGCCAAGAGAGCAGCCCTCACTCACCAGTAGAAATGTGCCATCAGGCCTCTCACTGGATGCCCACGTGAACTCTGGGCCTGGTTCTCTGCTGTTCAGTTTTCAAGTAAATTTGAACGCAAGGCAGCATTTTCTATTTCACAAAAAT